GGACACTGATCCTTGGACACTTGTTCTCGCCTAGGCATGCTCTGGCTGGTCGTGGCGGTCCTGCTGAGGATGCTGGTGGTGGTCTTGGCAGGGTCCCCTATCTACCAAGACGAACAGGAGAGGTTTGTTTGCAACACCCTGCAGCCAGGATGTGCCAACGTCTGCTACGACCTCTTCTCTCCAGTGTCGCCGCTGCGGTTCTGGCTGGTGCAGAGCCTGGTGCTGCTCCTGCCTTCCGCAGTCTTTGGTGCCTACGCCCTGCACCGCGGCGCGAAGCTGGCTGCGGAGGGAGCCTGCAGGCCCCGGGTCCCAGACCTGTCTGCCGCCTACCTGGTGCACCTGCTGCTGCGCACGCTGCTCGAGGCTGGCCTGGCTTCCCTGCATTACTTGCTCTTCGGCTTCTTTGTGCCCAACCGAGTTTCTTGCTCGCGCGTGCCCTGCTCAGGGGCTGTGGACTGCTATGTGTCGCGGCCCACGGAGAAGTCCCTCCTGATGCTGTTCGTGTGGGCCGTGAGCGCGCTGTCCTTCCTACTCAGTTTGGCCGACCTGCTTTGCAGCCTGAGGAGGACACGGAGGACCACACAGGGGGTGAAGGGCGAGGCCAGACCGGTCTGCGAAGTCCCCACACTTCCCCCTGGTCTCTTACAGGACCCCCAGGGCTGCCAGAGCCATGGTCAAGTGGACCGTGGGGGCGGGCAGGAGGAGCAGGGTGTGCCTGAGTTCCCCAGTGTGTGGACAGCAGGGCAGGACGGCGACATCCACGTTGGTCAGGCCAGTGTGTCAGGGCGGGCGGGGCATTCAGACCAAGATGATAGTGAGGCCACTTCCTCAGCTGGTGACAGGTTAGCTGTGGCTCACACAGAGCATGAGTTCAGATCCCAGAGAGAGCCTTCTCTGGACCTAGGGGGCAAAAACACTCAGTCAGGTGAGCTCCCCTTGGTCACCCAGAGCCACCTGGCCAGGCACTGTTTGGGCCAGCCTCTGGCTCCTGGTAGGCTGGCTACCTCCGGCAGCGCCCCTCACCTGAGAACCAAAAAGTCTGAGTGGGTGTGAAGACAGCCACGCAGAGCCCACTTACCCTTTCCTCAGTACGGTGCAGAGGTCCCTTCATCTTGTGTTCTTGCTGAGACCATTTTAGGTTTAACTAGAAATGTGATCTCCTTGATGTAGAATGTCATAGAAAATTACCCAACACTATTCTAGGAACCTGAGGTCAAGATGCTCCAGCAAACTTAACTTCTGTTAAACTGCCTGCGTGTGCAGACCTCCCCCTATACCCACCCACTTAGCTTAGCTTTTATTAAACTGCTTGTTTAAGCAAAACCTCCTCCTGCAATTGCAGACCAAAATACCAAGATGTGAGTTTTGCCTTTAAAAACCCCTTACCCTAAAAACTCAGGGCTACACTTGGGTCGCAAATACCTGGGTATAGTCTCAGCCAGCTGTAATAAAGACTTTCAGTTGGCTATAAATTGTGTCTGAGTGGTCATCTCTGGCAGGCTCCCCAGAATGGGAGCAGGCTGTGCCTATGAAGCTAAAATCCTACAGTGAGGGATCAGAACCTGAGATTTGCTCCACAAAGACAGCATGCACTTCAGCCACTGGGTGGGTGCCACAGGAGGAGGCAACATTCTCAGCAAGGGATCAAAGCTCCCTTCACTCATCTGGACTTCAGTTTTCTCCTTTGAGTGATGAGGGACCTAGACTAGGGTGTTCTTTGTTGCTCTTCCAATTGAAGACTCTGCCAGAGTATGGCCATTGGTTATGCTAACATTCTAAGGATTGCAAGTAGTCTTTCCAGCTTGCTGAATGCCCAGCATAGCTTTTGATAGGCTGAGCTTTAATAGCAAAAAAAAGTCTGTGTTGCTATAATAAAATACCAGAGACTAAGTTATAAAGAAAAATGTATTTTTTTTTATAGCAACAGAGATTGGGGATTCCAAGATTGGACTAGAGAAGTCCTTTTAGCTGTTTCATAGCACAACAGGGAATTCCGTGGAGAGGTAGAACAGCATGCCAACTTATGTCTCTCTCCTTCTTCTTCTTGTTGTAAAATATTCTTATTTATTATTATGTCCATGGTGTGTGTGTGTGTGTGTGTGTGTGTATGTGTATGTGTATGCATACGTATACACACATGCACCGTAATGTGCTTGTAGAGGTTAGAGGATGACTTTGAGGAGTCAGCTCTCTTTTTTACTGTGTATTTCAGGAATTGAACTCAACTTGTCAGTTTAGCATGACATGAACTTTGACCTGCTAAGTCATTTCAGGCCTTCTCTTCTTAAAAAGTCATTAATACCATCATTAATCACCCTCAGAATATCACCTAATCCTAACCACCTCCCCAAGGCCATGTCATCAGATACCATTAACAGGAATTTTGTGATTAACTTCCCAGTACATGATGATTGTGGTTGTTTTGCTGTGTCAGCATGACTGTGAAGGTCACCCTGAAGCTCACAGGTGGAGGCATCCCTCCCCTCTGAGCACACTGCAGCTCTCAGTGGCTGTAAGGTTTTCAAGCCTTGAAAGATCTTACAGTGGTTGTCAAAGCATGCACGAGACCTGTGCCACCACACACTAGACGACCAAAGCCCAGGATGAAGATGAGAGTCGGGTACTAGGTCCCACTCCTGGCCATAGCGCTCTGGTCAACTGTTAGCTGCTGGGAGAGGGAGAATCAGATTTCTGCAAGGGTCTAGCCCCTGGTCCACCAGCCATGCTCCAGTGGGAGGCTGCACATCCAAGAACGTTTGGACGGCACAAATGCGTCTTGTTGTGGCTGGGGGACAGAAAGTTGGGTGACTGTGGGGATAAGTCTGATCAAAACACACTGTATGAAATTCTAAAAGAACTAATACCATTTTAAGACTTTTTAGAAATTATGTAAGATGAAAATGGGGAAACAGTCTTAGACTTTATCCAACAGAGCCCCAGGTGGTACTTTAGGGATCACTTTGCCCAGAGTCCCATCTATCTGCTCACATGGAAGGGGCAAGAGGGGCCCATAGGCCCGACCTGGAGTGGGCACTGTCACATCTAGTTACACGCTCTCTCCAGAACTTAGAAAGGTGGTGGGGAAGTCAGAGGGACCGTTAGCTGGTGTGTGTGTCTCGGGCAGGGTTGTTTCTGGACACCTGCTTCCTAGGAAACATTCAACAGATCCCTGCGCTCAGCATAATGGGCTCCAGTCACTGGTGGGTTCCTTGAGTCACATATTTGACTTGAAAAAGGTTTCAGGTGGTACTCAAGTTTACACTGGGGGAATCCAGTGTCCTTTCCTTCAGAAATGAAAAGCTGGGCATGGTAGTACATGCCTTTAATGCCAGCACACAGGAGGCAGGTGGCAGGATCTCTATTAGCTCAAGGCCGGATTGATCTACATGGTGAATTCCAGGCTAGTCAGGGCTACACAGTGATACCATGTCTCAAAACAAACAAGCAAACAAAAACAAAAACAAACCCACAAATGAACGAACTGAAAAATCAGAAATGGCAAGTTTGAGGAAAGAGAAAAGATTAAGAATTTTCTTAATTTGTGACCTAGAACCCAAATCTCTGGTACTTTGGAGCGCGCACACACACACACACACACACACACACACACACACACGGCTGGCGGGGGGAGCATTAGTGTTGTTCAGTTGTTTAGATTTTACACAGCAAAAGCCTCATTAGATACTGCCTGATTTCCCATGGACATCAGCTCAGCAAGTTTTCCCAGCTGGTGTGGAGGTGCCTCCTGAGACAGTTCAGTGAAGATGCGAACCCGCCAGTGGATCCAGTCTCTGAACAGACAAGTAAGTAGTGCTGGGTGCCCGTGGAGATGAACGTGAAAGAGATCCTATGAGGACCAAGGGATTATGCACAGAAAGCAGGCTCTGGGTAGCCCAGGAAAGTGTTACTTATGCATTTACTAAGTACCTCGCTGGCACATGCAGCAATCTATGCTGAGAACTTCTTTCCAGTTTTCTGGTGTAAATTCAGTTCCAGGAATAACTAGCAGCATGGCACATTAAGGAAAGGAAAGGGAGGCCTGCAGGACTGTAGTGTAAATCCTGTGGCTCTCACTCCATGCCAACTCCGGGGCGCTGACTTCAAAGGGCTCTGGTGAATTTTGCTGGCTATGTAGGGGATAAGGTTGTTTCCCCAGGAATGAAGAGGATGACAGACACCCTTCTTGAATTTCGTGTGTGTGTGTGTGTGTGTGTGTGTGTGTGTGTGTGTGTGTGTGTCTTTATTAGCATATATGACTGTGTACTTGTGTGCATATATCTCCGTGTATGTGTGCGTGCATGCGTATGTATGCAAGTGTGGTTTTCTTGCTCCCAACATGTATACAACAATCCCTTCCTTGAGGAACTTTAAACTTGACCTCCAGCTCTATAGTTGGTCCCAGAGAGAGGTGAGATGTTAAGATTACACAGCCTTATAAGATGAACCTGGGCGAACTTCATTTCATAGAGAACTGAGGAAATAAAAGTCATATGCCAATTGAGTATACCTCTGTGTAAAGCATTTGTTTAGTGAGCAGGACATATGTTTGATCCCAAGCACTGAATAAAACCTAGATTTTAGTAGGAAGGGTTTCCTTCTTCCCCAGACTGAGGGTCCGAGTGTGCACCCATCACATCTCTGGTTGCCATCTGCCTCTTTGGCTGAAAGATCACCCATGTGTCGCTGGGCAGCTCTTCTTCCCCCAGTCTCTCAGGCAGAGCTGCTTGTCCTCCAGACAGACCCACACACAGTCATCAGTAGGCTAACAAACAAGACTTTTAAACCTGTGGAGGAAGTTAATAAAGCAGCATTTATGGAACATTGGTTCTGCATATAAATCTACTTCGGTTCCTTTCCGCGAAGCTTTAAAGCTCTGCATATGCTGCAAGCAGTCAGAAAACTGAGGTGGCGTGAGCCCCAGTGCACACACACACACACAGAGCCTCTCAAGTCCTCCAACCCCAGCAAACCGCTCCCTCTTCACAGGGCTCACAGAACAGCAGCAGGTGACACCTGCTTTACTGAGTGAGCATGGGAAGCCCACCTGGTTAACCATGGAAACCTCAGGGCAAGGATTTAGTCATGTGCTCCCAAAAGACGGCTCTAGGGCTGAGATCACAGATGTCCGACAGACCATTGTGAACGAGCCTTCAGGAACTGATGACATTTGGCAGGGGAGAATGTTAGCTGGACCCGGTAAGGCTTCCTGGATTTCGGTTGCTCCCAGTCTCACCAGCAGGGGCCTCTCTTGGACCACAGTTAGGTTCCAATAGTTAAAGGCACCAAAACAAAACATCAATTTGTTCTCTCCACATGGATACATTGCTGCCCATACATTTCATTTTCATCTTTATCTTCTCTGCTCAGAGAAATCAGGATTTAAGAATTCTCTGCAGTCCATCTGGGAATTTTATTAGATTGATTTTAGGCAACAGTATGATAGGGGCTTGGGAGTGAGAAATTAGGGGATAATGGGAAACTGTGAACAATCTAGTCTCATAGCACAAGCTCATTGCACAAGACAAGAGATCACCTTTGTGAGTCTGAGATGCAGCTCCTAGTTTTGACTTTCTTCCTTTGACTTTGCTCACATGCATCTGATCCCCCTTCCCCCCCTCCCCCAGCTTTCCACAAAAACTGAAAAGATTTCACTTGAAAGCTGGACCTGTAATGTAAATGACCACCAAGGCAGATGGTAGGGAGGCGGCTAGATGCTGTAGCCCTGGAGTGTGGCTACTCAGAGCTGTTGACCAAATGTAACAATGGGACACTTCTTCTCCATTCCATCTGTTCACTAAGCAGCTACAAGAACCCTTGTGGCTGTAACCTGTCGGAAAGGCTATCTGAAAAGACGCATAATGTTCTCCCCGCTGGCTTATGAAACAACATGTTGTTTTATAGTTAAGAATCCCTCGATTGCAGGGAGGTTCCAAGTCTTACTGCAACTTGATATGCTATGTTTGCTTGATAACCATGGGAGACCCGACTTTTTCCTAAATATAAATATTTATTCTCTCTCTCTCTCTCTCTATATATATATATATATATATATATATATATATATATATATATATATATATCATAGCTTAACCAGTGAGTCACCGGCCAGTGAGAGACCATGTCTCCAAAAACAAGGTGGATGGTGCATGAAGAAAGGCCTTGGAGGTTGAGTTCTGACCTCTCTATTAAAAAAAAAAATCAAATATCGTGGTCTAGACTTGAACATTTCAGCATAGACTTTGGATATTCTGTAAATAGGCCGTAGTGAATTGAATAGTAACACCTCCTGCATAAAAGAGCCATGCTGCCTCCCTCACTCCGCTGGGGAGCAGGTCTTATGAATAAAGGGGCTGTGCTGTTTCCCTTTCTTACGTGGGAACTAACAAGGAACCAGGCCTTCGGTGTTATCCATATCACTTGTAACCCCGTTCCCTCTGCATGCCCCCTTTACAACAAATTTCTCTGTGTTGTAACCATGGTCCGGCTGAGGTTTCACTGAGCCTCCCCACAGTCTGTCAAGGCTGTAATGGCTTGGCCCCCATGGAGGTGGTATCGGGGGTAGACATTTAAGAGGTGGGACCTTATGGGAAAGCCCTAAATTATTGAGGACACGCTCTCAGGAGGAGTTATAGGGCATCGACCTTCTGCTCCCCCTGTTTACTAGTTTCTGGGACTCAGTGCTCATACTGAGGTCACTCCCATGACTACTGTGGAAATTCTCATGTGAAACCCTTGCACTAAAGCCTCCAGAACTGTGAGCCGAATGAGCCTCTCTTTCCTTCATCAGCAGGCTGAGTCAGGTATTTTGCTACAGGGATAGGGAGATGATTACAACTATACCCTTCAGGAGGCCCCCCGACAACATTCCGGTAGTACCAGAA